AATAGGGGAAGCAATGTCACTTCCACATTTTAATTTTATTTTCCTTTTGTCCACATTTCCAGAGATGGAAGTGTTATTTTTACTGTACTTTTTGGTACCTTTTTTGAATAATGTATTGTATGGTTGTATTTTACATGTCTACTGGATTTGCCACATGAGGTTCGGGAGCTGCCAGAGCTTTTGAAATAAAACAATTGAGTAAATTTTTCTCAATGTTTCCAGATGCTTGTTCTGCTTCCTGTTGTTGCATAGCGTAGGAGAGCCCTTTTAAAACACCAGAGTCCCGTGAATGTCAGCGTTTTTGGGTAATGCATCTAATAGTGACTGGAAATGTCCACTTTTGCTTTGATTTTTAATTTTTTTTTATTTATTTTTTTTTTATTTTTTTTTGTCAATTAGGATATTTGTTAGCAACCAGCAATGTTACTCATTTGAAGTCTCATTCCTATAGTGTTTTTGGTAGAAATAAATGATTTGTAAGTTTTGGACGTGTTCTCGTTTACTGGCTAACATTAATGTTAATTTGTCAATCTTACAGTTTTTCTCAATTGCTTTGGCTCAATTCTCGAAGTTGACTGTCATGGTGAAAAAACAACTAAACATTTTGACCAGTGTGGCTCACACGATGACAAAAATACTTTATATTTTGGTGGCCTTGGCCAAATTACTGACACGATAACTAGGTTTTGAAGCATGAATGAAATGTTTTGGGTGAGTAACTACATTTTGCAGACATGCAATAAAGTTCTGAAGTTCCAGCAAACAGTTGTGACATTTGCACTCACAGTTTAGAGAATGTTAAGATTGTTTTGAAAAATGTGCCAAAGCAATTGAGAAAAACTGTGATGGTTTAAATGGTTACTTTTACTGTGACAATTAAGTTGAGTTATAACGGTGATTTTGCCAAAACACCTTTGATTTCAAAACCCTGGTAACTTTGCATTAACTACTTTAGTAAACCTACTAGTTAAGTCCTGGGGTCTCATTTATGAACGTTGCGTACGCACAAAATGGGCATAGAATTTGCGTACGCACATATCGGGATTTATTAAAAATAAACTTGGCGTAAATATGTACGCACCACATGGACATTCTAGACCATGCGCACGCACTCTCCTGTAGTGAGAAAAGTAATTAAGTAAACGACGGTTTTAAAATCGGTTTTAATTTCGATATACACATTTACATTAAATATTCCACTCTCATTAATGGAGATAAGCACAGAAATTACATGAAGTCATTACGCAGAAGTTAAACAAATTATGAATTTAGACCTATTTAGTGGATGCGCTTGATCGCTTTTCCTGTGGCATGCTGTTTTGATGACAACGATGAGTGCTATAGGTGCACAATAATTCATCTTTAAACTAAACTGCAGATCTCATGTTATGAGAAAATATTTTAGTGAGCATGATCAAAGATGCGCACTTCGATATTATGGCGGACACTGCTGGATTCAGTGGTCGGACGGTCTATTGTCTGGTTTGAATAGGTCCAATAATAATATCTTACTGTACAACCGCAGCTGCACGGAGGTGTTGATGCCGTGTGAAGGCATCGCCACAACATTATGAAAAATACCACTGTATTTGAAGGATACAACTTGAAGAAAATGGTCATTTGCATGTTTTCTTTTTAAAATAGGCTACTTTGTCAGTGATGCGCTGAGTCAGACAATTCTATTTACACTGCAATAAATATAGGCAAAAAATAGCTAAAATATGTTCACCTTATCAGCAAAACTGCATAAATTAAAAGTGAGTACACCCCTCACATTTCAGCAACCATTTTATTATATGTCGTCAAGGGACAATACTATAGAAATGAAAATTGGATATACTTTAGACTAGTCAATGTGCAGCTTGTATAGCAGTACAGAATTACTGTCCTCTAAAAATAACTCAACATACAGCCATTGTTGTCTAAATAACTGGCAACAAAAGTGAGTACACCCTAAGTGAATATGTCAAAACTGTGTCCAAAGTGTCAATATTTTGTGTGAGCCCCATTGTTATCTAGCACTGCCTTAATCCGCGCATTGACTACTCTAAAATATATCCAAGTTTCATTTCTATTGTATTGTCCCTTGAGAAGTATGGAGAACCAAACCTGCAGAAATAAAAAATAAATAAATACACAAATAAATAAATGAATGTGTGTATAAATAAATAAATACGCAAATAAATAAATAAATGTGTGTATAAATAAAGGTGTGCATTATAACTGAGAACTACATGAACGTTTAAGGAAATGCTAAACTCATCCTAACTATTTTCCTTTGATCACTCATTTATTTCTGAATGTAGTTCCATGTTTATTTTTCCTCTGCGCAACATGCTAATGAGAGGGTGTCAACCATGGACTTGGTCGGGTCTTGTGATATCTGGGGGCGCTGCTTTCCCGCTGACAGGAGATGCATGATGTTTTACTGTCTCTGGTGGGACATGTGATGTGCTGTCTGTATTTTGGCACAGTAAATTAATTATTTATATATGTATTTAAACAAGAATACGTGTATTTATACACACATTTATTTATTTATTTGCTTAATTTATTTATTTTTAATTTCTGCAGGTTTGGTCCTCCATACGTGGATGGGAATATACATGGAAATGATATGCAGATGAGGTTATGCATAGTAAAACTAGGCGTTGTAAGCTCCATATATGGTGATTTCGGGGAGGAGATGGGGTGGAGATGCACGTACGCACAATCTTCCCTTGACTGGGATTTATAAAGGCAGATTATTAAATTAAGAAATTGCGCAGGTTCTGGCATACACATGGTTTTACAAATCTGAAAACTTTTGTGCATACGCAAAATCTAGCTTTTGTGCATACGTACACTTTTAGGATGAAATCTATGGAAAGTTTTATAAATGAGACCCCTGGTATGTTGCATGAACTGCAAAAAAATTAATATTTTTTTCTTGTTTTCTACTTCAAATATAATTCTTTTACTTGAGATGGAAAAAGATGAGTACTCTTGTTTTCCAATAAGTTTAAGTTTATGCTTGAGACTAAAGCAAATATGTCAGTGGAGTATGATAGCTTTTTTTCTTTTGAATTAAGTTATATTTTTCTGACCCCATTGGCTGATATTTGTTCTGGTTTTAATCGAACTCACTTTATTTTGATCATTTTCTCAGAAAACAATACTTTTTATCGTATTTTTATTCACAAAAAATGTATTTTGCTCTGACATCTGTACTGGGGATAAAAGGACATAATATAGCATATCACTGTTTGAAAAATGTAAAGTGTAATGATGAAAAAATATTCAATTTACTGTTTTTAATAGTGTACACTATGCAGTATTTAGTACGTAGTAAGAGTTTCCATTCTGTACACAGTCAGAGTCGTTTGAGTGAATCGATTCATTTGAGTTATCGCTTAATAGAGTTCCAAAAAGTCTACATTTTATGTGTTATTCACATGTTTTAAAGAAATATTAAATGCTGATTTTAATGACTGTTTTCGGTTAAATCAAATGTTGCGTTGTACACCATGCACATCACAGTTTTACTCCTAAACAAAGCTCGTACCGGTGAAATGTGAATCAGTTCGCTCGAATCATCTAAAGAACCGGTTCAAATTAATGATTCAGTTTGGCATTGGATTCAGACTTGTGGAAACAGTAGAAGAGTTGCAAGAAAAGAAATAAAAATATGGATTACAAAATTAGCAGAAAGTTTATGGATGGAGGCCAGAGGGGGTTTAGGATGTGTATGACTCAATTTCGCCAACGAAAGGTGAGATTAACGAACTATATTAGCAGGTGAGGTAAAATGATGCACAGATGATGGGAAAATACAGCTCAGAATCACAGAACACGTGTTCAAAACGCTGTCATAATGAAATAATTGAGATATACATTAAAGAGTCAATTAACTAGCATGGGACTGATTTTACATACGTTTGTTCACCTGAAACAAGCTCAACAAGGACTCCGTGTTAACGCAGGTAAACTGTAAAGTGTGAAATGTGGTGTTATATTTTCCTTAAGCAAATCATTTTAATTGTATATTTTGTATTCAGCAAAGAACAGTGTGGGAGAAATGTGTTAAACTTTTGAATATATAATTTTTGTTATGTGTATTTTACCTTGATTTACAGTAGAGGGCGCTAGATGGCAATAAAAGAGGTACCGGTATATAAAATACATACTGTATTTAAATGAACAGAAAATTACATTTTGATTAGTTTTCAATTTAGGGCCCATTTTAACTTTTTTACTTTGAACACTGACGCAAATTAAGACTATAGTTGTGTTGAAGTAATGTAAAATAGTAATAATCATGCTTTAAAATCCTTTAGCTATTCAAGACATTCAGAGAATTAGTCATTTAAAACAAGTTTGTTCTCATCATTCTGATAATTCAAATAATTTCGAAATTTTATAATGGTTTAATTTGATCAGTCGGTTTGAGACGCTCATCCAAAACTAGCCGTAAACATTCAGTATGCGTAATTTTAGTCATTAAAAAACGAATTGTCAGAAAATCAACTTCTCGGAAAGACTAATACTATTTTAAATGAGTAAAATGAAGCTAATAGCAATCTTACTTGAAATATTCTTCACAATTCAAAACAGCATTAGTATGTGTTTGGGAAACTGGCTCAAACTGAAGCGTAGTTAAGCGTGTGGGTTTAGATTACTCACAGAGATGGGTAATTGTGCCAGAGAGGGCTGTCTGTTGGATCCTCACCGCCTTGTGTCATAACAAACTACCACATGCTAGGATTTCAGAGTCATTTAAGTAGTTAAAGATCTGCTCCATCATCCTCCAGAAAGCTGGACGTTTAGGAGGGAGAATGAATCTGCCTTCGCTGTACCCTCGAGTATGGCATTTAACGTTAAAATACTCTAAAGAGACCTTTAATGCACTTGACCTCTTCGCTGTAGATAAAAGCCTCATTAAGTGACCCGCTTCTGTAGAGTTGCCTTTGTCAGATTTCCAAGAAAGACATGAGCCATAAAAAGACACAGGGTTCTTGAAAAAAGCTTCTTATTTTTTTTTATTGTTATTCCAGTTCTTTGATTCTGTTTACCAGGGATTAATCTAATATACAAATACCACACACATTTATAAAAATGACTTTCACTGAAATTGTTCTTGTGTTAAAGAGGAGTAAAGTGCATATCTCAGACATGTTCTGTGATTTTTTATTTTTTTTGTATGTTTTTAAATCTTTAAGAAATATCAATATATCGTAACCAATATTAAAACATCATCAAACAAATAGTGCAAGTAAGTTCCCACCAGTCGCCACAGAAGGGCTTCATATATATACACACACACACACATCTTTAAGCACCTTCGTTGTACATGGCCATTGAAACATCTTTGCATTTTGCACACCAAGATGAAAACATCTTAAAAGTCTTGTGTGAAGTGCAGAAGCTTAAATTTTCAGATGATTTTAATTCTCATTTGGAGTACTTGTGCAGTTTGTTTTGTGGGTGTTTTAGAAGTTAAAAGTCTTGAAGGGGGGATTTTATGCTTTTTTTTATTACCGTATTGTTTTGATTTCAGAGGGTTTGATGTCAAATATCGTACACTGTCTGCATTGACACATTCTCTCTTGAAAAACAGATAAACCGGAACACAAATGTGTTAGTGTCTTTATAAAACATCTTAGTAAAATATAGCCAAGGCTTATTTAAATATGCATAAATAGCATGAAAATATGTTTAGTTTCAGTTTAAACGATGCTGAATTACTCTAGCCATTCAGATGAGGAACAGTATCAAAGTTGTGGACGTTTTTCCCTCGTTTTATTTTCCTGTACACCACAAGCACCTCCAAGACACTTCATATGTGAAAAAGACTGCTTTGCAAACAGATTGGATTTCAAGTTTGTTCTTTAACAACACATCTTTGGATGTTTTACAATAGAAACACTTACAATAATGAACAATTCCACTGTAGAACCTGAAAGCCATCTATACAAATTATTTTAAACAGCATTCGATTTCATCAAGGGTCAATTTGAAATGCACAATATAAATAATTATGAGAAAAAAATAACTTGCAGGATTTCTCTTTTGTCTAATTGCATGATTAACTGCAGATTGATGTGACAACTTGTTATGTGTAACACGTGATATTTTGGCTGTAAAAAAAAAAGATTTGTAATCCTGAGAGTTTTTCTTATTAATTTTGTCTTTGTGGTTTCTGTGGTAATTCTAAAAAAAATGGAACCACTTTTGTATTTTGCATAGTGGATTACAATGTGTAAATTTGTAATTTTCCTTGTGTTTAGGATTTAGCTTCACTGAAAACTGTTAAATTAGAAAACCTGTCAGATAATGCAATGCAAACATCAAAGCTTCTAGCTTATTCAGCAGGACTTATTTTTTCTTTCTGCATACCTGATTGTCAAATTTTTGCGTTCGATTTTCACATACTCCATTGCACTGAACAGTCTATGAGCGCATCACCCTTGTTAGCAAACGCTGAAGCATCAAAAACAGCTTGAACAAATGCACATCCAAGATATTAACAAATCTAGTCATTTAAAAAGTAGGCTTTTTAAAATCCCTGTCATCCCATATGGAAGCTAACTTATGAAACAAACAAAAAAACAAAAAAATGTAATTCTCATTTAATATTACAGAGTCTGAACCCGGTTCGTAAAGACTTTGTGGCATCCGAAGCGAGCAGCTGTTTCAAGGAATTAACAAAAGTCACTTTGCGGCCTCGGGAATGGGTGGAGCTCGTTCCAGTCTCACGGCCCAGGGGTCAGAGGTCGCCAAATAGAAAGGCGGGTGTGGCAGAACGTTCTCCGTCGCCACGGCGAAAGCAAACACGCCCCGCTTTCTGTTCACATCCTCTGAGATGAGCTTTCTGTCCGTTTCTCGGCTGCCACCGTCGACGTCCTCTAGCGTTTTTCCTCCCGTAGGCTGCTGTTTCCCCAGCAAGGGGGCGCCACGAGCGGCGGGAATCCGCATCGTCCTGTCCGCTTGGAGGGCGTTGGGATCTGGAGGGAAGAGGAAGTTGGTGGACCTCCAGGCGGAGGGCTTTCGGCCCCGTCGCGGGCGTGAGACGCGGCAGCTCTGCCGCTTGATGTGCCGGTGAAGGTGGTCGGAGCGCGTGAAGCTCTTGTAGCAGTGCTCGCATTGGTACGGCCGCACGCCGGTGTGGATGCGCAAGTGGTTCTTCAGGTCGTAGTTGTGAACGAACTTAGAGTTGCAGTGCAGGCAGATGTATGGCCTCTCACCGGTGTGCTTGCGCATGTGAATCTTCAGCTTGTCTTGCCTGAGAAAGAGAAAAACAGCAATTAAACGAACAGTTCACCCAAAAATGTGCATTTTTGCTCGGCAATGGATCTTCTGCAGTGAATGGGTGCCGTCAGAATGAGAGTCCAAACAGCTGATAAAAACATCACAATAAACCACAAGTCATCCACACCACTCCAGTCCATCAATTAACATCTTGTGAAGTGAAAAACTGCATGTTTGTAAAAAACAAATCCAGCATTAAGATGTTTTTAACTTCAAAGCCTCACTTCTGGCCAAAATGTGCATCCATAATCCATAATAACTCTTCCTCCAGTGGAACAAGTCCATCTCCTGTTGTCTCTCAGATCAAAATCCACCAACTGTTTTGGCTTGTAAACAGTGCTTGATCAGTACATATGTCTCTCCTGATTCAGACTTTTTCACTGGAGAAAGCAATGTTATGGATTATGGACTTGTATTTTAGCTGGAAGCAATTGTTTGAAGTTAAAAAGATCTTAATGATGGATTTATTTCTTACAAACCTGCAGCTTTTCACTTCACAAGACTTGTGGATTATTGTGATGTTTTTAATCACCTGTTTTGGACTCTCATTCTGACGGCACCCATTCACTGCAGAGGATCCATTGCTGAGCAAGTGACATCTAAATTTATCCACATCTGACGAAGAAACAAACGCATCTACGTCTTGGATGGCCTGATTGTGATTACATTTTCAGCAAATTGTCATTTTTGAGCGAACTATTCGTCTAAGTTTGGGTTTTGAGGTTATTTTGCATACCTGTAAGAATCCCTGCAAAACCTCAAGGCACACCATGCACGCAGAAAAGCGTACATGCATGCAGAAAAACACACAAGCAGGTGTACGCCTTTGTACTTGAAAAGCAGACAGCTGCAAGTTGCTCAACAGCAGCAGCGACAGAAAAACCCAAAAAACACGAAAACCGGATTTAGTGTTCCTGTTATGTGGTATCCAGATGAGTTATCCAGAAGCTCAGAAGCCTTCGTTTGATCTATTTCGCAGTCTAGATCTCACTCATCGAAATTTCATTCCTCTACAGAGCGTTTGAGCCCAAAAGTGAAATGTAGGTCTTATATTAACATCACTACGCTTTGGCTTTTATTACAGTGTGGAAACCTCATGCGGCTCCGACCACAGTGATGCATAAAGTGTTTCACAGCAGGTTTGTCCTTATGATGCTGCTCTAGTTTTCATGTGCCATTTCATTGTTGTAATACTGAAGCTAAGCTCTTCAGCTTCAAAGAGGCTATTTATTCTAGCAGACAGTCAGTGTAATTTGTTTGAGGGGAAAAGTTTGCTGGGTTACATGACAGCAAGTCAGAATTCTTTCTCGTAAATCTGTCATTGTAAAACATTCTTTGCCTTCTTCAGTATGTCTGCTCCTTTTTAGTGACTGTTCATTTTAAAGTGTTATTCTTGTACTCTATCTGCTTGAATTGATGTTAAAAACATTCCTGAAATGTTAAAGGGATAGTTTGCCCAAAAATTAACATTCTGATGTGGCTTTGGAACCCATCGACTTTTATTGTACGGACAAAAGCAGTTTTCAAAATATCTGCTTTTGTGTTCTACAGATAAAGGAAAGTCATAACGCTTTGGAACGACATTAGGGTGAGTAAATTCTGACAATTAAAATTTTTTTTTTATGCAAATCCAGATTGTGGTACTTCATGATCCGATTGTCTCCTTTTCATCCCATCTTTCCGGTCAACTATCACTTTAAATAAAAGTTCAGAAGCTCTCATAATAGTAATTTAATAAAAATGTAATGAAATAAAATCATAAATAATACAATTAAAAATAGTAAATAATAAAAATAGTGAAATTAAGTGCTAAACACGAATTTTAATAATTAGAAGTGTATAGAAAGATACAAAATATACCCACCATCATTCCAATCAACTATCACTATAATTAAAAGTGGCAAAAATAAATAGGAATTTATTAATCATTTTAATAAAAGTATTAAATTGTAAATAATAAAATTAAATGTATAGTAAATAATTTTAATAATTAGATGCTTATAGAAAAATACAAAATGTAGCCACCATCATTCCCATTAACGATCACTGTAATTATTGTAAATATTAAAAATGGCAAAAAATAAATAAATAGGAATTTAGTAGTAATTTTAATAAAATGTAAGAAAAATAAAAATGTAAAAATAAAATATAAATTGTAAAAAATAAAATGAAATGGTAAATAATAATTTTAATGCTTAGAAGTGTATAAAAATATACAATATACAATATCCCTATAAAGAAAAGTGGCAAAAGTTTCAATAGTTATTTAATAAGAATTTAAATGAAATAAAATGATAAATAATAAAACAAAATTGTAAATAATATATTAAAATGTTAAGTAATTACTAATTTGATTGTTATAATAATACAATCATTGTTTTAATTGTTACTTTTTAAATTAATATACTAAAAAATCAAATAAAACAAAAATGACATTTAATAAACTTATTAAAATAAAATACAAACTACTTCTATACTGAAGTAGTAAAGTATACTTGACTAGTGTCACTTCATCTTTTCTCATTTGTGCTCTTTAATTAGGATCGAGGGCTCAAGTTTGTGTCACCTTAACCCGACTCACCTGGTGAAGCGGACCTCACAGATGGTGCACATGTAGGGCTTCTCTCCGGTGTGTGTTCGCATGTGCCGTGGCAGCTTTCCCGCTCCTTGAATCACCTTGTTGCAGATGGGGCACTGCTGTGACGCCTTGGGCTTCATTTTCCTCTCCTCCTCCAGCTGCCACGGAGGAAACAGCGTCCCGAGATGGGAGGCGGAAAGAAAACTCAGGTAGGACCGCAGCTCCGCTCCCTCTTTGATCGGACCGAGGCTGGGGTCAGAGGTTATTCCCAACCCTGGACTCATGAAGTCTTTGAGGAAGTCTCTGTGCAGGATTGGGTTTGTAGGCTCATCCTTCAGCTCTTCTTTGATGACTTCTTTCTTGACCGCAAGGTCCAAAGGGCCGTTTTCTAGTGAAGCATTGGGGAAAGGGTGGGAAGGGTGTCGGCGCTCCAGAATCTGAGGGTAGCCTGGGAATTCTGCCGCCCACATGTGAGGATAGAAGCCTGGGAGAAGGGGTGAGAATCCGGCGCCTCTTTCCAGGCCTGGCATTTTCGGATAGAGTCCCTCTTGAAGTAAAGACTCTATCGAGAAGTCCTTCAGCGCCCGGCCCTCCAATCCCTCCGGCCCTCGGGGTTTCTGGTCTTCCGGAGTGTCCGATTGGCGTCTTTGGGATTCTTGGCCATCCGGGTTCGGCGCTCCTTGTTGGGAGCTACAAGGTGGGCTATCCGTCCTCCCATTCTCCCAAACTTTGAGTTCCTCTTGGTTTTCGGCTCCTTGTGTGGATTTCTCGCTATTGTTGTCCTCAAATTCTCCATCTTTGGAGTCGACCTCCTCCTCCATTTCTTCCTCGTCTTCTTCATCCTCGTCTTCCTCGTCATCTCCCTCAAACTCCTCTCCTTCCAGAGGTCCTCCTCCTCGTTCTCCACCTCCTCCCGTGTCCATGATTTCCAGACACACGTTTATAATGCAGGGAATTTCCAGGAGCCTGGCGGCACTCAGGATCTCCTTGACGTTGGATGCTGTCACCGTCAGCGTCGACGTGTACGCGAACTCCAGAATGGCCGTCAGCGATTCCGGCACCACGAAGTCCAGCTCGTAGATGGCGTGCTGGTTGGAGTCCTGGCTGGAGCCGGTGGCCACCGTGAAGAGTTTTTTGAAGTACTGGCTGCAGGCGGCCAGGACGGAGCGATGGGTGCGGTACTCCTGGTCCCGGACCACTAGGATGACGTCGCAAAGCAGGCCGTCCCGCCGCTGCTCGTTAAGACTGCACAGAACGTCGTTGCTGTGGTTCGGGAAGGGGATTCCGATCAGGTCCTCGTCTGTGTGCGCCATCCTCTCCGAGGAGTCTGTGTGCAGGTAAAAAAGTGAAATCGGTCAGAGCTGTCATGCATTAAAATAAGGCTGGGCGATAAATAGATATTTGTGACCATGGACCACAAAACCAGTCATAAGGGACAATTCTGAAATTGAGTAACTGAATAAATAAGCTTTCCATTGACGTATGGTTTGTTAGGATAGGACAATATTTGGCTGAGATACAACTATTTGAAAATCTGGAATCTGAGGGTGCAAAAAAATCTAAATATTGAGAAAATCACCTTTAAAGTTGTCCAAATGAAGTTCTTAGCAATGCATATTACTAATCAAAAATTAAGTTTTGATATATTTACGGTAGGAAATTTACAAAATATCTTCATGGAACATGGTCTTTACTTAATATCCTAATGATTTTTGGCATAAAAGAAAAATCTATATAATTTTGATCCATACAACGTACTGCTGGCTATTGCTACAAATTTAGCCATGCTACTTATGACTGGTTTTGTGCTCCAAGGTCCATTCCATAATATTAATAATGCATTTTTAAGTCATTTAAGTAAAATATTTAGCCTACATCTAGACGATCATCTAGCACTTCACTACAAACCGACAAAATAAAAGTTGACTTTTAACTTGACAGAAATGACAGAAATGTATTACTATTGTAAAATGTATACTGAAAAAAAATTGGTTTAAAATAATTTTCACTCAGAAATTGCTAGTGCATTTCACAAATAATTACAAAGAAACAGCAAGTAACACATCGAATTAAATGTGAAATTTTGAAATAGAAAAACTGAAATAGTATGTTTTTGTAAAACATGTTTCAATAATTTTTATTTACATTGACAATTTACAATTTTTTATTGAAAAAACATTTTTTACAGTGTACTTCTCCTATTACTATTATTATTATTATTATTTAGGGAATATCATGCAACCAATATATCTTTTCACTCACGATTTAAAGGTTGTGTTGGGCAGCATTTTAATTGGCAAAAAATAAAAATGCAAAGTTTGTTGTGAATTAATTATATTTTAATTTGATTGCATGTTAAAATATTGATTAAATTCATTAGACACCATTTTGATTATACATTTGTAATAAATCATAAAACAGAAAAAAATACGAAAAACGACTTTACTCTATATAGTTTGATTGTATTTTCAATTGATTGCATGTTAAAAGACTTAGTAATTGAATCTAATTACGAACATTTTTTGATGATAAAGTGATATGGAATCACAAAACACAGAATCCAGAAAAAAATCAAATAGAAGACACAGAATAAAGGATTGATTTTACTCTATGAAGTTTCCTTATAAACAAACAAATGATGTATTCATTCATTTTCAACGTCTAACAGACATGTGGAATGCATTTCCCTTCCCATTAAAATGAATATCATGATAAATATTGATAGCAAAAGATATGGAAAAATATTTTTTTGGCCAGCCCCACAATAATCAACTGAAAATGAGATTTGAGTTAAAGATGCTTGTTTCTGCAAAAGTGCGTTACTCTGTGCACTTTGCGGTTAAAGAGGATGCGTCGCATGCACAATCAGATAATTAATTAGCTCCTGTCGAGCGTCTGGGGAGCAAATCTCTGTTTCTGGTTCTCTCTGATTGCGATCAAACAACAATTCCACTGGCTTCTGCTTTTTACGCCGTATACATTGATAGCAGAGGCCATTTTGTTGTGAAGGCCTCAAAAGATAGTGAATTAAATCTGATGGTTTGCATTGTGAGAAAAGCTGATACTTACCTTTGTCACGTTCGGAAAAAAGCACAGCACAGGAAGGCAAAAGGGGTCAGGCCCTAGTTTCTGCTTTCCACGGGAAAAAAGTGTCAGGGCTTGAGTAAACGTCACCCATCGGCCCCAGATTCACTCGTGTTTCATGAGAGGCCGATGCTGTTTAATTGCAGCTACTTTAAATGCAAAATGTTGAATCCTTTTTTTTTCTTATTGTTATAATTTACTTAAGTCTAGTTTAGAAGTGTACTTCTACAGAACACTGTCCAAAAATAATAAAGGATTGGGAAAGCTGTATTTTGCAGACCTCCGTTCAGATGCTCTTAAACTACAGGCCTACATGAATGGAGCCTGAATTGTACCTGCGGATTTCCTGAAATGTTTACAGCGACTTTTTAAGAGGCGTTTTGGCAGCATTGTCCTTCATTCATGGCTATGAATAGAGTTTAATCTCAGTGTGTCTCGTCCCCGTGGTCACTGCAGGCATGTGGATGGATGCTTTCATACGTCCCGCCGCCACCGGAGCTGTCGACTGGCGTTCAATGGTCCAAAAACGGCCTGTGCGCCAAAGTAAATGAGCTACTGGTGTTTTGGGGTTTTTCTTCTTGTCCATTGTCTGTCTTTATTCTCTATAATATTGAGCTCAGCGCTTACCAATCAACATTTTAATGTCCCTTCCACTGTTGCTAGGAGACGGTTGCTATAATTACAGTTTGAACATATAGTCCACTAACAAGGAACGTATCTTTTAAATTAAGAACCTTGTTTATCAAACAATGTGACCCTTCAGGTAAAAATATATATAGATGTGACAGAAATAATGGATTACATTTAGCCTGAATGAACCAGCATGAGATTGGAAATGGAAACTTAGAATAGTAAGATATTGTAGATAATATATATTTATAAACCATTAGAAAACTTTTCATTACTTGAAAAATGTAAACTGAAATTAAATAGAATATTTTAAAAGAACTTTATATCAGCTAGTTGCCAAAGCAAAATTTCTCATGTTAAATTACAATAACTTGATGTATTAAAATAGCTAAAACAAAAAGGAAATCAATAATTTTGACCCATACAATGTATTTTTGGCTATTGCTACAAATATACCCCAGAGACTTAAGACTGCTTTTGTGCTCCAGGGTCACATATTATTAATAAAACGAAATAGGCATATATAAAACTATAGAGAGAGAAAATCAAAAACTACTAAAAATGACAAAATTCAGATTCAAAATGTTAATAACTATAATAGTATCTCAACAATACTAAACACTGGTATGTGTGACATTTTTTATTTTTTTTTAAATGTGTATAAACAACACAAACACTTCCATTTAACTGCAAACTTTTCACAGAAAAAAGAGAAAGACAGAGGAAGAGGGAAGGATGAGATCTCATGTCCCCAGAAGTTCCCTGACAGGTTGGGCAAAACTAAACAAAAAAAAAAGCGGTGCCCCACCCTGGAAAATCCAGCCAAGTTAAATAGGTGTTCGGAGCTAAAAACAACACTAGGGAGGGAGTGAAAAAGAAGGAAGAGAGACACAGTGAGGTCTCCCACCCACCCTGGGAGCGCATGCGTTTCTCCGGCCGGCCCCCACACCTCCTCACTCCCATAATTACAGTGTGTGTTTGAGGGCCCACTGGCCCCTCCGCACTCGCTTAACACTGAATAACTCCTTCAGACCTTCACAATTTACTCCCTCCATATGACGCAATCTACATGCAGACACACCACAGACTTCTGCTGGTTCTGTAGAAAGCTAATTATTAATACTACTGATTATTCTACCTGTAAATCTATAAGAAATTATTTTGTGATTTTTAAATTTTTTTTGTATAACTTTATCTGCAGAAGATACATTTACTTGAGAATCAAAATGACTTAAGATAAGTCTTGTTTTAAAAAAATCTAAATGAAGTGAGTTTATTCTTAATATAAGAAAAATATCTATTAATGAGGTCAGAAAAATAATCTTTTTTTCCTTTGAAGTAAGTATACTTTTCTGATCCCATTGACAGATATTTGTTCTTGTTTTAAGGGGGGGAATTAAGTTTATGCTTAAAACAAGAATAATATCTGTCAGTGGGGTCAGAAAAAAATAATCTTGTTTTCTCTTTGAATTAAGCATAAACTTGTTTTAAGCATAAACTCATTTCAATTACATTAAAAAAAACAAGACTTAATATCCTAAGTCATTTTCCTTCTTAAGTAAATGCATCTTGAAACAAGTTTTTTTTCTTGTTTTAAGCAAAAACACACCCAATTTTGATAATTTTTTAGAAAACTATTTAATATCTTAAGTCAAGTAAATGTATCTTGATTTATGAATCCTTACATCAGTTTTTGCAGTGAAACTTTTATGCATTTTGTTTTATTAAGTGACATTATTAAGCTGTTGTTCCCAGTATGTAGGCAAAAATGGACTCACACACACCTCAGTGATAGATGCTATCTGAAATCCTGTCTAAACTGTTGATGTGGCTCTGCTAGTGAAGCAGTAATGCTTCAGATGGGTATCTTCGACTGGACCGCAGCTCAGTTTGTCCATCATCCGTGTTTGCACTTTTCTTTGTGAAGTGATTTGATGATCAGTTGGAGTGCAGGAGATTTTTCTGCAGATGTGTATTAAGTTGCTTTTGTGGTCCGCTTGTTGTTTGTAATGATAGGAAGACGTCATTTTCCACTGAGAAATATTTAATCGTAATGTTCACATGCTGCTGACAACAAATTTGGCAGTCAGACATTCATTATTGTTTCAGTAAATCAGATTAGTTTGACTGTTAATGACATGAAGAATCAAATCCAGATTTTTTTACAAGCACAGATTCATGTATAGCCTAAGAAAACGTTTAAAATATATAATATTTTCATTGTATTTTGTTCAGTAAATGTCCTGGAGATTCCTTTAAAGCATAAACAAATAAATAAATAAACAAATGATTATTTTAAGGAAATTAAATTATATATAAAAGTAAAGCATTTAATGAAAATAATTGATAAAAGTTGCTTAATAAAAATGAGCATTTTCAGATGCTTATCAGCTGAATTTTGTTTCATGCCAGATCATTGTCGGCCATATCAAATGTCATGCTTGATTGTAAAGGATGTTTAGAGATAATCTGAGGATCTGTTCTGGTGTCTACAGTTTGTGTAAAGAGGTGAAGAAAATACCCCCTTTAGCCCCACAAAGTGCCACACACTCATTTCAGCACAGATGCGTTTGTCATTTGAAAAAGATGCATGCGTGTGCGTGTATCAGTGCT